GGCATGGTCTTCTTGGTAGAAGAGTTCCATCGGTCGCTCCAAGGGCGCCCAGTCCTGGAAACGTATCGAATATCGTGCTGCTATGAGTTCTTCTGTGGATGCTGAGGAGTCCGGTCGAGTAGCAATCTCTGCGCGGCCTCCGAGGATCCGCGTTGCCGGAACATCGCATCTGCGTGCGCCACTGCAGCTCGACAAGCATGAATTGACTACCATGCATGCTAAAGGCCGTGCCACATATTGCTTTGGATTGTGTAACGCCAGCCTGCAATATGAGTTGCGATCCGCGCGCGTTGCCGAGCTGTCCGCGCCAGGCATGTCTGCTACCGACGAGGAGATTGTCGAGGGGGTGATCAGGAACACCGATCCGCTTCGCGGGCGAGTGGGGGCCAACCTGGCCGGGGCACTGCTCTACGTCATCGGCGTCGCGTTCGCCTGCCCAGTCTCGAGCGACGCGGTGGTGCGCCCAGATTGGGTGTTTTCGGTGGCAAGAGACGTCGTCGAGCGCAATCCTGATCTCGTTGTCGCCTACGCATCCTCATCAAATCATCATGTGATCTGTGATTGTTTCTCTGGGCTGGCTCTGAATAGTGGCCCTGTAACTGTTGCGCTCGGCTATGAGTCTGGTTGCTCAAGCCTTGAGGTCATTTGCGCGCTGAGCTCGCACCTCGAGTCAGACGCGGACATCGCGAGTCAGAAATTCCTTGAGTCCCCCAGAGAGTTAGGTCAGACAGTTAGACCGGATAGACTTGCACTTACAGCTTTCCCCAATGAGGCCGCAGAGGAGAGAGTTCGAGACGCTTTGGGCGCGATCATCGGTGATGACGGCGTCGCTGCTGTCTCTAAGGAACGCCTGCGAGATGAGGAACAATATATCCCGGAACAATTCGACCTACCCAGCGAGCCGAAGCACGAAGGAAAGAGAAGAACAGCGCGGTTGCAGTTCCCGCTCCGCGCAAGGATCGCCATTAGACGACTGCACAGACAGTTGGGTCATGTGCCTAATCGTGTTCTCGTGCAGCTATTGGCAACCTCCAGGCTGTCATCGGACCGCATTGAAGCCGCCGAGAATTATCGATGTGAATCTTGCGAACATCACAAACGGCTAGGTCAGACTCACAAGGTTGCCTTGCCCAAGAAATTCTGCTTCAACCATGAAATCGGCATCGACTGTCTAGAGGTGCAGGGCAACATTGGCGAACGCTACACCTGCTTGAGCATAGTGTGCCAGGTTGCAGCATTTCAGCACGTGATCTTTGTCCAGCAGGGAGGCGGCACGCCATCTTCGAAAGCATGCCTCGCTGCACTTCAGCGACACTGGTGTGCATGGGCAGTTAGGCCGAAAAGAATGGCGGTGGACCATGGACTGCGTAACAGAGGAGTGTTTCTGCAATGGTTTAAGAGTCAATGGGTCCACCTCCGCGACGCCGGAGTCGAGTCTCCCGAGCAGATAGGCCGCGCCGAGAGACATGATGGACTTTGGAAGAACACCTTTCAAGAAGGGTGTACACGACAAGAATGTTTCCGGACTCGATGAAGTCATCTCTATTGCATCAGAAGTCGACAACACGAAGAATGAGATGTCACGAGTCGGCGGATTTGCGCCTGTTCAGTGGGCACTCGGAAAGAGAATTCGTGTCCCAGGGAGTCAATTCGACGACGAGGAAGCTCTCGACTTGGGAGTGCTTGCGAGTGTTGCAGAGGACGGAGCCGACGAGTTTTCTGCTAAGTGGAGCACTGGTTCACGTATCGTCGGATTCGACGGCAAGAACGCATGGGTCATCACAGAGGGTGTACCTGTCTGCGTGGCTGTCGACAGGCTTCGACCGTGCACAGCGGCTGAAGCGTTGGCTTGCCAATAATTCCCAAAGCACCATGACGGTGGTGCTCAGAGGTATGCACCTCCGGACGGGCAGAGGCAGTCATTCGCGGGCGAGCGACGCGCGAGCTGCCAGAACCACAGGCGCAAGAGCAATCTGCGCAAGAGCGTCCCATGGCGACGGAAGAGCTGCCAGGGATCCCAGATGGCCCCGAGTTCATAGAGGAAGCATTTTTCCACGCGGAAGAAAATGAACAGTCAGATGGAATGATCGTTCCTGTGCCGCCCGCGTCGAGGTCGTCACAGGTGGCTCGAGCGCCCCTTCAGAGGTCGCTACTAGACGGCTCCCCGAACGGCATGCAGAGTCGCAACGAAGTGATGCGCGTAAGGGCCGAGAATTCAGATGGTAGCGCGGGCAGGGCTTCCGATTCTGTCTCGGAGCCTGCTCCTCATCCATCGATTCCACTTCTTGAGGCCATGCGCAGGGCCAGAACATCAGGGCCGGGCATGGATCTTCTAGCTCGTAGGAAAGCTCCACTTGCTGTTGAGCCGCATGAATCACTCGCCGGATTCTTCAACGGGCGCGTCGCTCACAAGCTGCAATCTAAGAAAAAGCTAAAGAGAGCAAAGAATATGGTATATCATCGGGGGTCTGATGACGTCAAAAGCGCGTTGCGACTGGCAGGACAAAACGACTGGGGAAATGGCGGAAGTTCAGCGCCGTTGTATCTATTGATTCCGTGGAACTGCAAAATCTTCGCGACGAAGGATACCGCATGGTACCTGCGCAATGGATCGAAATTGACGAGATGGAACATCTCCGTAGACTGGGTGGACATTCGGTGGCACCCGAGTACATGAGCACACTTGTCATGCGTGGAGATCTGGAAGAGTCTTTGGGTATCCGCGCGGCTTCACCAACGTGCGAACACGATGGGCTATGGTTGATAGTATCATGGGCCGCCGGTGCGAAGAAGACGCTCAAGTGCGCCGACGCTGCATCTTCGCGCTTCCAGGGGCAGGAACTCGACCGCCCCATGCTGCTCAAGCCACCGCCCGACGGACTCGAAGGATCACCGGGTGGTGGAGCACTGGTCGCGCGCGCGCCTGTCTATTGCGCGCGCGACGCAGGGCGAGGCTCGTGGAAGAAAATGCTCAGAAGGTTTGCAGCTCATGGTCTGAAGGAGAATATTAGCATGCCTGCTGTGCCCAGTATTCACAATGACAAGAATGGCATCACGCGTATGTTAGGTACACGTGTGGATGACGCGCTATGGGCTGCAGACTGAAAGTCAGAGAATCATCGATTCGGTACTAGCAGAGTTTTATATTCGTGAGATCAAGTCGGATATGTTTTTTCGCCGTGGCGGTTTAAAAGTTGCTCAAGATGAAGACTTCGCGGCGAGTAGCGGGGCCAGGGGCCGTGCTGAGAAGTTTGAGGCTGCGTCCTATCCTAGAGAGTGCCCCCCTCAGGTGAAAATGGAATTGGGGCGAGACAGCGCAGTTCAGATCGGTCGTAGGTGCTCTGTCATGGGTTCGCGTCAGAGTAAACCTGAGCTATTGTCTCGTGTGAGCAGCCTGCAGTGCGTCACGCTACGGTACTTCATCTCACAGAAGCCAACCGTGCATTAGAAGAAGCAACTGGGTCCGCTGACTGCGGGTTAATATTCGAAGGTAGAGCTGTTAAGCGGCATCGAGCTAGGCTAGTTCTTACTGTTACTGGCGCCAGCTGGGCAGGATCAATGGACTCGCAGGGCCTGGATTCATCGAGGGGAGCAGTGATCATTTTCACCCTAAATGTATATCTAGTAAAGTTATCAAACGAGTCTGTAAATCTATACTGAAAGCAGAGACCCTGGCTTGCTTATGGGGTGTCGAATCTGGCGTACGCATTCGCGCCGCCATCGCAGATGTGCGTGGGATGCTTGGCGCAGGGAAGAAACGGCCAGCCGACTGGGAAGACAAAACCGTGCTTATGAGACGCTTATGGATGACGGATTGCAGAAGCCTTGAAGATCATCTCATAGCACCAACTATGACTAAGACCGAAGATCAGCATTTGAGTATCGATTCGAGTAGTTTAAGACCAGAAATTTGGACTAATGGAATGGAATAAGTAGAGATTTTCATCCACGCTGATTTTGTGGCACGATCCGATGGTTCGATACAAGCATTATGGCTGTTGGTCGTTTGACGAAGAATATGCCTACATATTTCCCTGTTAAGATCTTACGTGCAAATTCGTATGACGTATTTCCAGGTCTGAATCTACCGTAAAGAAGGTCAAGCAACACCTGGCGAGGGCCAGGATGAAAACCATCCCATCGGGGAAGTGAGTAAGTGAGTCCTGGCTGCCTTTGACTTGAGTAATCCTAATATGGGAATGCTCCCTTTACTGCCCCTAGAGGCTTAGTGAGACCAGCGGTACTGCGCGGTCTGCCGGCTAGCTCGTGATACAGTTTCACGGGTGTGAGATAGTGCGTGTGTCACTTGTATATATGCACCACTCGCCGCCGTTTGACCTCTAGGGGCCTCTTTTTGCCATTGGGCTAAAACGCATCATAATCCAGGTGATATTTGGAGGTCGTGGACCCCCCTTGCTGACCGTCTCCGCGCGACCGAGACGGAAGGACGTCACATCCCCGCGCGGCGCACAAAAGGGAAGGAGGCTCCGCCTGCCTTCCGCGCCGCTTTCGGGCGGGCGAGCTGGCCCTCGCCCGCCGACGTGGTGCATCTGGCACTCCGCTGAACACCCACACCCTCGGTCGCTCGTTGCCTGGCGATTGTCAGGGCCAGCGCTCGCTCCGGAAAATATGTTTGTGTGTATATTTGTATGTAGAGGTATATCGCGATTTACACATTCGTCTACATACATATATGTAAGTCGATGTGTGTATATATACAGGTATGTGTATATACCAGTATGTCTATGTATATACAGGTATCAGGTGCAAGTATGGTGTGTATATATATATGTGTGTTCGCACATACAGATGCTTCGATGCATACACATCGAGAAAAAAACCATAAAGGGGCAGACAGCGCCAGGAGGAGGGGCTTAGACTCATCTATGTGTATATATATACATGGATATGCACAGATACGCGGGTGAATTTGGGTAAGGTAAGCAAGGCGGCAAGGAGAACCAGAGGGAAAGATGAATAACCATCCTGGGGCCCAGCAGGTGTACGACTGCAAGGAAGGCTACGCCAGCAGACGCACCAGCTGGAGCGAGCTCAAGAAGGCCACCGGGCGTCGGCGTCGACCTGTGTGCGGCGAGGGGAGATGAGGAAGCACGGGAGGGAGTGAGGGCGGGGGAGAGGAGCGGGTGGAGGATTCCGAATTGCAATTGGCATGTGAATGATGTCTCCTGACGAATATCGCATCAGGGCGACGGCATGGGCAAAACATGTTAGAGCCTGGCCCCCCCCAGAGCCAGCACCTGCTGCCTGGGTTGAAACATGCCCGTCAACCATACTTGTAGAGGGTCGGGCGCCGACTGGAGGGGGAGGTCAAGGGCGCATCTGGGAGGGGAGACGAGACGAAGAGAACGGAAAAGAGGGAGGGAGCAGGAGGAAAAGGAGGTCCTTGCCCTCCCTCCCTCCCTCCCTCCCCATCCCTCGTCTAACCTCGGGCTGCCCCTCTTCCTCTCTCCTCGCCCTCTTCTCCCCTTCCCTCCCCTCTCCTCGGCCTCCTCCCCCTCCTCCCCTGAGCCTCCCGCGCCGCCTTTTCCTGCTCCCCCCGTCTACATTAAAGCAGACTCCATGTGCAAGCCTGTAGCGTACCTCGGGTGTAAAACAATCGACTCAGGCGCAGTGGGAATGATTGTGAAGTAGGCGGCAGGCCCGTGCGGTACAGGAGATGCAAGTAGTATAGGAGCAGGGGCGTGTCCAGAAGGGCGCAGAGTAACTGTGCCGACCGCCAACATTGAGAAGGGGAAGATGAAAGACCGAATCGCAAGTAAATGCCGAATCGAACATAGATCAGAAGGAGCAAGCCGAACGTCGAAGAGATCGAAACACACGTGCAAGTTTGCCAGCTAGGGTTGGACTGATCATTCCCCAATGTACATGTACACAAGCCAGGCAGCAGTTCAAGAGACTGTAGGGTGATTCGCCAGAGTTCCCCACCCCATCCTAACCCGACCCATCCAACCCAAAGTCAAGCGCAAGAATAGTGCAGAGCAGACTGGAACTAGCACGGGCTGTAATGGTTGGCCTGTGGACTTTTCGATGGGCTGAAAAATCGATTGCCAGATTCTGGCGCATTGGACGAACACTGATGGGGCAACGATTAGCCCTCCTCCAGCATATGTCTAATCACTCCGTCCCCATATCAGGTTTGATTGGCTGGTGCGATAGCTGGCTTGAAGTGGAATAGATTCGGCAGTGGTGCGGGCTGATGCTGAGGCTGGCGCAATCAGTGTTGGCCGGCCTGTTATTGAACTCGTCAGTTACATGTGAGAATGGCCCGGCTGTTGGCTGAATAGCTGAAACGAAATTGCTGTTGCTGTTACTGTAAATGAAGGCTGACACTGTCAGATTGTGCTGGCCAATCTTATGGCATTCTACAAAACCTCTGTCAAGAATGAGAGCTCAGTGCAGGCTGGCGCTGTACAATAGGTCAGCCTGAGCCGTGAAATGAAACGTTGGCGGTGTGGGGGACTGAGCATCGGGCACTCGGCGGCCCACAGCAGGGTTGGTCCCCCCTCCGCCGAAGGCCACAATGGCAACCCTTTCCTCCTCCTCCTCCTCCTCCTTCTCCTCCTCCTCCTCCTCCTCCTCCTTCTCCCTCCTCCTCCTCCTCCTCCTCCTCCTCCTCCTCTCTTTCAGGCGGCCGCGAGTCTCTCCCGCGCGCCCGGGCGCTCTGTGGTCGGGAGCCAGCAGACACCACCGCCGCCCCGCGAAGCGAGCGGCACCCCAGGGGGTGGCCGGCTGTCGACGACAGCAGCGACTCCCAGGGGTGCCGGAGGGGTCTTCAGGCTGGGCCCTCCTCCTCCTCCTCCTCCTCCCTTGGCTCGCCCCCTCCTCCTCCTCCTCCTCTTCCTCCTCCTCCGCCTCCTCCTCCTCCTCCCCCTCCTCCTCCCTTGGCTCGCCCCCTCCTCTCTCTCTCTCTCGCACGTCCATATCGGGACCCCCCCCCTTCTGGTCGGGCCGCCGCGTTCTGCTCCCTTTTGCCACCCGGCTCCGCTGCTCCTCTCTCAAGCAGTGGCGAAGCGTCCTGGCTCGCCTATAGCCCCACCAAAGACTGTTCTGAGAACCTTTCGTGGTTTGGGCGGAATGTTCTCAGAACATTGTTCTGGCGGAGCCTGTCTTGTTTAAATGCCGGGACGGTCGGTCCCTGCTCAATCTTCGAACCGCGCCACCGCCGTTCTCTTTACGCGTGTGCTCGTTTTCTGATTCAGTGCTTTGCTGATCGGCGCGGGCCGTCGCACCCACCCCTCTTCCCACCCCCTCATGGAGCAGATCCCGTTTCGAGCAGGCGGAGCCCTACCCCCATCGGACGCACTGTTGCAAGCAGTCGCACCAACCAGAGGTCCGGAGCCAGACCCCCCCCCCCGTGCCCCCCCTCCGCCCAATGTCGAAACGCCGAATAAGGAAGCGCTAACCACGTGGTAGATTACTTTCTTTTGCGCCAGACCACCTCCGAACCCGAGTACGCTGGTTCTTGCGCTCCGTATCGTCTAGGGTGGTCATGGCCTCTTCAGCTCCCCTTTCTGTGGAGGGGCGTACTTGGCCGTGTCCGAACGGTCTGCCGTCCTCCTTTCTGAGAGTTCTGTAGAATTCCTCGCGTCCCGCCTGTGTCACGTGGTCCTTTCGCGCCAGTCGACGTCGTAAGAGAAGTCTCCCATGCAAAGAAAAGTGTGTGGCTGATGACGTGAGCTCGTCCCCGCCGCGCCCCTTCTGCTGCCACTGCCGTCCCCGCTCGCGCTCCCTGCCCGCACCGCGGCTGGCTGGCGGCGTCCCGTTGCGCTCGATTCGTGCTTGCCTATGCCGCCACACCTCAGGAGGGAAAAGAACACACAGACACAATTAATCGTCGATTCCCCAGAAACTATGGGAAACTATGGGAAGTGGGGGGGAAGACAGAAGCCCAGAAAATAAGGGAAACTATGGGGAATCCTTTTATGTGTGTGTGTATGTATTTGGGTGTCCCAGGGCCCCTTCAACACCATGCCCTCGAGCCTCGAGCCTCGAGCGTCGACGACGTGGCGAGCGGCAGCAGCAGGGGCAGGGCCACGGCGAGGGAGACGAGCATCGGCAGGAGGAGCAGGAAAGGGAGGAGTGGCCCCGCGCCGCTGTCGGGCGTCTCCTGCTCCTTCTCCTCCTACGGCTGTGTATATATAAACAAATAGAAACATGTGCATACACACCTGTACCTTTGTTCCTCCACCACGTGCTCGTAGCACTGCCCGCCCTTGAGTCAGATCGCTTGACTGTCGTGCAGGTGCTGGATAACAGGATGCCGCACGGCGTGTGGAGCGGCATTGTAGGTGTTTTGAAATGCCCTGAGTGCCACGTCGTTCCGTCGTGCCATGAATAGCTTGTACGCCGTGTCGTGCAGCGCGTGGATCCTGACGTCCCCCGAGTCGCTTTCAGACATCTTTTTGTCCTTGTCCTCCTCGGCTTCTCTTCTGCCCCTCGTGATGTCCGCGTAGTCTAGACGACCGATTATTCATGCATAGTGGGCGGTGTACAAGCCTGGAAGCACACCGAAAGCGGTACGGACACGGCATTCCTCGTGCCACGCTGTAGTTGATGGCGTCTTGTATCTAACCTCTGCCGCCACCGCCACATCTGCCGGCCCTTCTCGCACCACTGCTGGCCCTCCTCGCACCATTGCCGGCACGTTTCGCACCACTGCCGCCCTTTCTGGCACCGTTGCAAGCCCGTCACGTACAGTCGGGGCGCTGAAGAAGGAACCCTTTTCGTTGGGGAGGGGCTCCGCGTTCCCTGATTGTTTCACAGCTTGCCTCAGGTTCTGCTCAGGTTTTCCATGGGAAATCGAAGTTGAACTTGTGGGAAAAAGTGGCCTCGTTTCTTGTTTAGGGTTCCTCAGGTCAACACCCCGACTGTACCATTGCCGGCCCATCTCGCGCCAGTGCCGCTGCCTGCCCTTCACGAAGGGCCATTGCCCGGGCCCTTCTCGCACCACGGCAGGGCCGCCTCGCACGAGGGGGCTGGCCCCAATATTGCAGCCGATGACGCCGGGCTCGTGCTTTGCGGCCCCGCAGTCGTAGCTGATGGCGTCGGACTCGTTAGGAGGAACATCCTGGAGGCCTCGCGCGGCGCGTAATAGTGGCATGATCTAGTCTCGTCCACTTGTCAGTTCCGTAAGCTATGGGTCGACGCTCGCGCGGCGATGCTCCGGAGTCAGTCCGACGTAAATCCGACGTAAATCCGACGTAGTCCGACGTAAACCCGACGTAAATCCGACGTGGTTCCGACGTACATCGGGTCTCAAGTTGCCGCGCGAGGCCTCCAGGAGTTTCTTCATGAGACTCGTGTTTCCTTGTGCCACCCTCGTATCCGATGGCGTCGCGCGCCTGCTCCGGTGTGGCTCTCCCCGTAGAGTCAAAAACCCTAATATGGACGCGCGGCTTTGCTCAGGCTACCCTTGCGTCCTTGCTCTCCCTCGCTCTTGCGTCCTCGGGATTTTCGTCGTCCGCCGCCCCAGAAATCCCAACTTCGGCTCCCAAGGGTCTCCCGTCCTTACCGCGGGTCCTCATTAGGGTTTTTGGCTCTAGCCGACGGCGTCGGCCTCGCGCGCTCGGCCCCACCGCTGTCGGGTTCGTGCTCTGCAGCGCCAGCCCGAGGCCTGCCTGCTCCCTTCTTGATGCCCTCCTCCTCCTCCTCCTCTTGATGCGACACCGCTTCTTGCTGCGTTGTCTGTACACGTGCCCTTCTGCAGTGGTGTCTCAAAGCCTGCCTGTACGCCTGCTGTCTGCCGCCGTTGGCCTTTCTCGCAGCTGGTATTCATAGCTGATGACGTCTGGTGCTACGCTGGCTTCCGTCCAACACTGCAGGAGACCGAGGACGAACTCTGGGGCATCCCTGTTGAAACTTGGGCCTGTTGATTGTCATATCGCCTGCACGTCAGATTCGATCCGGCGTAGTGCTACCACTAATTCTCGGAGCAAAGACATCGGAGGTTTCAGATCTGCTCCAGGGGTTGGGTGCGATTACAGCCCCGCGTGTGCACACAGGTCGGACGTGGCCAGCAAAGCTTGTCGCACCGCCACTCGTCTCATTCTCTGCCGTCTTCTCTTGGCCCGCGCTGCGGGCTCCCTGGTCACGACCACCACCACAAGAGTCTCATTTCCTGGGGTGTCGAGTTAGGGCCGTGTTCGGCGAGACCACGGCTGTCGAGGAGGAGGAGGAGGAAGAGGAGGAGGAGGAGGAGGGGGAGGAGGAGGAGGGAGGAGGAGGAGGAGGAGGAGGAGGGGGAGGAGGGGGATGAGGAGGGAGGAGGAGGGAGGGAGGAGGAGGAGGAGTGAGGAGGAGGAGAGGAGGAGGAATGGAGGGGAGAGAGGAGGAAGGAGGAGAGTAGGAGGAGGAGGAGAGAGGAGGAGTGGCCGATGCGCCCCGCCTGCCGCTGGTCGCTCGCGGGCTGGGGCCGGCCCGGCACATGGCGGCCCCCTCAGCGGGGGGACCGCGGTTTTGGCCCCCCCATGGCCCTCTCTCGCCGCCTCCTTCTCCTCCTCCTCCTCCTCCTCCTCCTCCCTCTTTCTCCTCCTCGCCTCCTCTCGTCGTCCGTCCTCCTCCTCGTCGTCTTTCCGTCCTCTCTTACTTCCTCCCCTCCTCCTCGTCGTCGTCTCCTCCTCCTCGTCGTCTCCCGCCTCCTCCTCCTCCGCCTCCTGCTCCTCCTCCTCCTCCTCCTCCTCCTCCTCCTCCTCCTCCTCCTCCACGGCCGCCTCCATCCTTTTGCCCTTTCTTCGCCGTCCTCCTCCCCTGGCGGCAGGCGTGGTGCTGCGAGAAGCGCGGGTGGGGATGCGACGTCAACCTGGAGCTTCCGCAGGCGCCCTCCTGCTCGCTCCCCCCCAGCCGGCACCGGGGCAGGGGCTGGGCCGATGGGGCTCGGGCCGCTTCAGTCAGGAAGGGAAAGAGCACACAACACACAATTCATCGGCGACTCCCAGGACAAGATGGGAAACTATGCGGAGTGGGGCGGAAGACGCATTTCCAGAACATGTGGGAGCGTTTTGGGAATCGTGGGATTTGTGCTTACTTATTTGCGTGTCCCTGGGCCACTTTAGTCCGCAGGAGGACCATGCCACCACACCAACCTCGGGCCGGCTCGGGCGAACCCTTCGGCCCAGGACCAGTGGAGCAATCCTACACCGATTCTGGGACCACGCCGAGCCTGAGCTGGCGCAGTGGTGATGTGTGTGTGTGTGTGTGTGTCTGTGCTATGCGACTTCGAGCATGAGGTTCAGGAGGGGGAACGAAAACACACACACACACACACTATGAATCGTCGATTCCCAGGAGCATCTGGGAAATTATAGACAGTTTGTGTGTGGGGGGGGGGGGACGACGAACACCCAGAACATCCCTTCCGAGGAGGGGGAAGACGACGAGGCGAGAGTGCAGTTGGAGGTGCAGCTGCGTTGCACTCGCGCAGCAGCCCCGCTGCCTGTCTGGGCGTCGAAGAGGACCTGGCGTCCGATGCGCGGCTCTTTAGCTAGGGCTCCCTCGAGGGCGCGAAGTTATTCGCGCTTCGCGGTCCTCCTTCCTCCTCCCCCTCCTCCTCGTCCTCCTCTTCTCCCTTTGGGGGGGCGGCGCGAGGGCGCGAAGTTATTCGCGCTTCGCGCTTCGCGCAGCGCGAAGCGCGAAGTTGGGAGCCCTAGGAGATGAGGAAGCGGAGGAGGAAGAGGACGTGATATGGAATGGCAGGAGGAGCATCAGCAGCAGCAGCAGCAGCAGCAGCGCGGCACGTGAACTGTGGCGGGGGGGAGGAAAGGACGAGGAGGACAAGGCGACGAGGAGCAGGAATAGGGGGACGTCGAGAGACCAGGAGACGGTCCAGGAGTACGACGAGAGGAAGACCACGAGAGAGATGACCAGGATAACCAGAAGGACGAGGAGGTGGTGGAAGAGGAGGAAGAGGAGGAGGAGGAGGACGAGGACGGCGCCTAGCGCCGTCGGTAGGAACTTCCGTGGCTTGGGTTGCGCTTGTCTTCTCTCCCTCTGGCTTGGCCTACGTCCTTCTCCTCCTTCCTCGCCCCTCTTCTTACTTATAAAGTTCGGTGGGTGCTCTCTTCTCCTTTCCCCCCTCTCCAACTCCTTCCTCCTTCTCCTACGTGCTCATCCTCCGTCCTGTTCATTATTCCCCCCTCTTGAAGTGCCTCCGTCCTCCGTCCTTCTCTTCTCCTCTCGTGCCGCCGTTCAGGGGTCGACCTAAACGGTGTTTGGGCGATTGCCTGGGCTGGTTCCGTTTCGATGTTGTTTTGCAGCAAAGGCGGATCGGAGACAACACGAGGGACAACGAAACGAAAACGAACAGCAGTGTTTGGGCCCATTCCCGCCGCTCACCTCCTCCTCCTTCTGTGCTTCCGTCCTTCTCCTCCTCCCCGCCCCTCCGGACTTTCCAGAGAGCTCGGCGGGCGCCATGCGCCGTTCGAAGAGAGTCTCCGCTCCCAGCTCGACTTCCCCCCTCCTCTTCCTCCCTCCTCCTCCTCCTCCTCCTCCTCCTTCCTCCTCCTCCTCCTCCTCCTCTTCCGTCCTCCTCCTCCTCCTCCTCGTCCTTCCTCCTCCTCCTCCTCCTCCTTCTCCTCCCCACTCCCCCACCACTTTCTTCCTCCTCACCTCCTCCACCGGCCTCCACCTTCCTCCTCCGCCTCCTCCACCCTCCTCCTCCTCCTACCTTCCATTCTCCTCATCCCTCCTCCTCCCTTTCCCCACCTCCTCCCTCCCTCCGCCTCCTCCGTCCTCCTCACTCCTTCTCCTCCTCTACCTCGCTCCTCCTCCTCCTCCTCCTTTCCTCCTCCTCCTCCTCCTCCTCCTCCTCGGCTAGGGACGGAAAGGACAAGGCGACGAGGAGCAGGAATAGGGTGACGTCGAGAGACCAGGAGACGGTCCAGGAGTACGACGAGAGGAAGACCACGAGAGAGATGACCAGGATAACCAGAAGGACGAGGAGGAGGAGGAGGAGGAGGAGGAGGAGGAGGAGGAGGTGGAGAGTGGAATGAGGAGGAGGAGGATGAGGAGAGGAGTGTTGTGAGGATTGGAGGAGGAGGAGGAGGGAGGAGGATGGGCGTCAGGATATGGTTGTAGGAGGAGGAGGAGGAGGAGGAGGAGGATGAGGACGGAGGACGGAGGACGGACGACGGAGAACGGAGACGGAGACGGGAGAGAGGACGGGATGACGGAGGACTGAGGAGGAGGAGGAGGAGGAGGAGGAGGAGGAGGAGGTAGATGCGACGGCTCACGCTAGCCTGCGTCGGTGCAGCGCAAAAATGGAGGAGGAGGAGAAGGAGGAGGAGGAGGCGGAGGAGAAGGACGGTGGAGGAGGAGGAGGAGGAGGAGGAGGAGGAAGATGAGGAGGAAGAAGAAGAGGATCAGGACGGAGGACGGAGGACGGAGGAGGAGGAGGAGGCTGGAGGCGGAGGAGGAGAAGGAGGAGGAGGAGGAGGAGGAGGAGGAGGTCGAGGTCGAGGTCGAGGTCGTCTCGGCAGGAGGGTGCCCTCGGGGAGGGCATGCCCTGCGGTCGGGGAGGGTAGCCTCGGGGAGGCTACCCTCGGGGAGGGTAGCACACGGTCGGGGTCGGCTCGGCAGGAGGCTGCCCTGGTGCTCCTCGTGCTTGTGGGGTGCTCTTGTGCATCCTGGGAGAGGGTGCTCTCGAGTTCTCTGCGGATTGGCCTGCGGCCCGTGGCCTGGGCGCCAGCTGTACGGTCGGACCGAGGTGCGAGGTCGAGGTCGGCTCGGCAGGAGGGTGCCCTGGTGTTCCTCGTTGGTACCCTCGAGGAGCGCTAGGGTACGCTCGAGGGTGCCCTCGTGTTCGGTGGGTGCTCTTGTGCATCCTGGGAGAGGGTCGAGGTCGGCTCGGCAGGAGGGAGGAAGGCACGCGAAGCCGAAGCATGTAGGAGATGGGGGCAGGAAGGAGGGAGGGGCCTCGCCGTCGTGCCTCCTCCTCATCCTCTTCCTCCTCCTCCACACTTGCACAAACTGTCTACTACTCTCCTCTCTCCCCTGATGACGTCCGGGAAATATCTGGACCCCCTCCGCGCAGTGAGTTTTTGCACAAGATTCCTGAGAAGTGGGTTTTCGCTCGGGTTTTGTTTTCAAGATGCTGCTCCCGCTGAGGCGTTGGCCTCATTTTCGGGCTTCCGCTCGTTCCGAATCGTGCTCCCGCTGCAGCGCTGACCGCATTTCCGCGCTTCCGCTCGTTCCGAATCGTGCTCCCGCTGCAGCGCTGGCGCGATTATTTCCAGCGCCATGCCACAGCATGTTTTCGGTCATTCCAAATAAGCGCCAAGATCTAAACCATGGCCCCCGAAAAAAACATCCGAAGTGATTACGCATTTGGTGCCGATCCGTTGATTTGTTGGGGCCGCAGAAGTCCCCCCCCCCACTTTGGCGTCGCCACGCCATGCTAATGCCATGCTTTGTCATGCTACGCCATGTAATGCTAAACCACGCTACGATATCTGACTGTGCGGATATAAAACGAGGTCTAAGTCATGGTAATGGATGTGAGGGAGGGGTAAGACTTCAGACATGACGCGAGCGCATGTAGATTGGCCTCCTCCCTCTCCCCCTCGTCCTTCCCCTCCCTCCTCCCTCTCCTCCCCCTCCTCCGCCTCCTTCTCCTCCTCCTCCTCCGCCTCCTCCTCCTCCTCCTCCTCCTCCTCCTCCTCCGCTTCTTCATTTGGTGCCCAGCGCTCCCGCGGGCGCGCGCGGACACTCGCTGCTGCCTCGGGGGTCGCTCCTTGCCGACAGTCATTCGCCTTCCTGCCTACGCCAAAAGGGCGTGCGCACCGATCTGGAGCCCAGGATCGGTGCCTTGGCATCGCTCGGACGTGTGCATGTTTCCTTCGGCGAGGACCATCGAGGAGCATCCTTGATCATCTGGCGAAAAAACCACTTTCGAAACCGAAAGAAGCACGGGGAATGGACGTTCGAGCGATGGCCAGGTGCCGGTGTCCAGCTCCAGGCATGCGCCTGCTCCATGTCTCTTTCGGTGCGTGGGCCCCCGGAGCTCTGGGCCCCTTCCCCGTGGATGGCTTTGTCGCCCCGACTTTTGTTGTTGTTGTTTGTTTTTGTTGCTGGTGGTGCAGGGGCCAGGCGAGGGCCCCCGGAGGCCCCAAGGCACGGCCCCCAAACCCGCCGCTCCAGTTTCTGTCGGAGCTGATGTGCCTGTTTTCCACCACCACCACCACCACCAGAAGTTGGAGGGGGGAATGAGATGAGATGGAGGAGGAGGAGGAGGAAGAGGAGGAGGAGGAGGAGGACGGGGACGAGGAGGAGGAGGAGGAGGAGGAGGAGGAGGAGGAGGAGGAGGAG